AGTAACATATGTACTCCGCAAAACAAGAGACGCAGAACCCGAGGAACTATAGGCCCATCACCTGCCTACCAACAATGGACAAGATCCTCACTTCTTATCATAACCGAGAAGACATACTTCATTGAGAAAAACAATTTATTCCCAGCATAACCGAAGGGGAGTAAAAGAGAAAGTTACGGGTGCAATGACCAAGTAGTTATCAATAAAATAATATTGGAAGAGGCGAAAACAAGGAAAATAAACTTATCGATAGTATGAATCAACTACAGAAAGGCGTTCGAAAATGTACCACACTTATGGATAGAGAAGAGCCTAAAAATATACAGAGTATGCCCGACAACGGTGAAATTCATAACAGAAAGCATAAAAAAACTGGAAGACTACACTGAATCTAAACAATACAAATGGTTCATTAACATTGCATTAGCGCCACTCAGTTGCCTATTGAACAACAGTAGCCACGGATACAATACACAGAATGGTAAACTGAATGACCTATTTTATATTAATGATCTTAAAACGTTTGCCAAAGATGACAACCAGCAGCAAAGACCTACTCACCATTGTCAAAACCTTCAGCGAAGACATTAGGATGGAGTTCGGAATCGGCAAATAGGCCAAAGCTTCCTTCAAAGGCGGTAAACTAACGAAAACTACGGTTTTAGACGTTGATATCAACAACAAAATTAAGGAACTAGACCAAAATGGTGCGTACAAATACTTAGAAATTAATGAAGGAGACGGAATACAACATTCAATTATGAAGAAAAATATCCGAAAAGAATATTGTAGAAGAGTTGTTTTTATACTAGAAAACTGATTGGGATCAGTAAAATGAGGGCTATCAACACCTTAGCTATACCTGCTAGTAACATACTGCTTCAATATTATTAAATGGAAGTTGAATTACATTAAAAGATTGGAAGCCAAGACCAGAAAAATGCTTACAAAAATGAGGATGCATCACCCGAAATCAAATGTTGATAAGCTTTACGTACCAAGAGCTTTAAGAGATCAAGGTCTAATCCAACTTGAACTAACACAAAAACTACAGCAATCGTATTGGTAGCCTACCTCACAAAAACCAATGGCCCTCTCCTACAAATAGTAAAACATGAAATCCACTCCATCAACAAAGAAGCTGCACTTTTCAAGAAACAGCTTAATACACCTGAAACCCTACCAGCTAAAAACGAAGCGAATATCATCTGCGCCAAACGAGTAAAACATAAAGCAAAACAACATGGCCAAATGAAATTGCAAAAAAACTGGGAGGACAAGACGTTGCATGTCAAATACCTAAAAAGAATAAAAGAAACTGATGTAGACCAACAGAAAACACATCAGTGGCTGAGCAGCACCGGATAGGGAGCTGAAACAGACGGCCTAATTGTTGCAGCTCAGGACCAAAAACCTCACAAACAGATCCTATCACTGTTACATAATCAAGGATAGAACTAATTCGAAATGCAGGATCTGCAGAAAATATGAAGAAACTGTCGACAATATTATTTCAGAATGTCTGGAACTAGCAAAAAATGGATATAGCCACAGACATAACAAGCTAGCAGCATATCTGCACTGGAAGATATGAAAGAAGCACAAAATCGAAACCACTGAGAGATAGTATGAGACACAGTTACCTAAAATAACGATGTAACAGTTGTGGATTCCGGGGATGGAATCCTGTACAAATAAATAAACAACGCCAGTAATTGAAATAGAAAAATATGTGTATTAAACATAAGAATACAAACTTGAAATGAAGATTAGTAGTCCAGTAATCCGGGTTAGTAGAAAGAATCTACAAGTCTCTGTAAGAAAAGTAAGATCTTTTTTCGTATAAAAAATGGGTGAAACCCTGTCTCGACATTTTCGATTACGTAGTATAAGTATACTTTGGACATCCATCTACAGTAACGACAATATTTCCGCTGGGACATGTCAATCCAATGATTTAAAGACCATATCATTTCAAAAATACAAATGCTTATTGTCATAGATACCATGAGAGAAACCCGTATAGATTATAGAAAGTGTCCAAATACCTGGAGCTCGAAATTTTCCCACATATGTTTATATATGTATGAGTCCCGGACTGGGACGACCAAATAGACAATTTTATACAATGTCTGCATAACATCGATGTTTGCAGAAGTTAGTAGGAACGATGAATGACAAAACGACAAAATTAATATAGAGCCTCCAAGGAAATAGTCTACCAATACACAGGATACAATGAAGGAAACATAAACCCAAATTTTTGATAAAACATTAATCAGTTTGTCTGACGATCACTTGAAAAGACATGATGAAAACCAAGGTCACAAACTCACATCTATCCAACCATAATCATATATATATAATATATATATATAATTATGTATCTTGATAGCGAGCAAACTGCTTGCCTTAAAATATATTTTCTAGAAAGAAATTGGTTAAATATCTTTTTTGTTTTGAGAAATGAAATGGAAAAAGTCCGACAAATTATTTTAAGACATTTTAAATGTTTATACATTCTTTTATAGATACAAATACATAAATGCTCTGTTTATAATAAACAGTGCAACATTTACCGGCCTGAATATCGAGAAGTTTTTACAGAAAATATTTCCTCGACAGGAATCGAAATTGTATCCTATACGGAACTGAAATAATGCCTGACGTGTTTTTATCGATTGAACCAGAGAGGAGCGTTTCGGTTAAAGGTCGATTTCTGTTTTTAAACTACAAATGATCATACATTCATATTTCGATGTGTATCCAAATGTAAACAAATGGCACCACACATTATGGATTTGACAAAGTCCGACAATTATTTTTAAGATATTTTATGTTTGTTGGAGGGCGCATATTTTCTATAAAAAGCCGGTAAATGCTGTAAATACTATTTATTATAAACATAGCATTTACAAAAATATTTGTATGTATAAAAAGAACGTATAAACGACAAAAAATCTTTATATATATATATATATATATATATATATATATATATATATATATATCAATGTTTATTTTTAATACCTTTACTCGATCGATTGGTATAGCCTGGATAGATATAATTTGCCAATACAAATATTTAAACAAATTGTTGTCTAGGGAAAAATACAAAAAGAAGACTAAAATTATCGGAGTTGGTCGAAAACAAATCACTCCACCGCAATAATGACAATAGTCAAAAAAAAAAAAATTGAGTAAAATAAGAAAAGACATAAAGTACCAATCATTCTAAAAATTTAGTGAATCAGAAATGCACACCTAGGGATCTTCAGGGTGAGCTGGAGATTTGCTCTGAAAAGGAATGTTGCTAGAATATATATATATATATATATATATATATATATATATATATATATATATATATACTTATGAAAAACTAGTTAATCCGTATGGGTAAACCTAAGGAGGATAAAATCCAGAGAGAGAAATGTAAATCCAGAGCAAATAATTTAAAAAAAAACAGGAAAATTTTTTTCAAATTTACCACCTTTATAAAATTAATGGTTTTTCATTCTCCCACCACGTTACTAATCATTTCTACCAATTTACAATAACTATTAACTAACTATCATTGTTCCAATGTTGAAACATTACTATCACATGAATATCATATAACCCGTTATTAAATTGAACTACCCTCTCACCCAGTACATTGAATATTAAACTAAACATCACCATATATTTTAACCAATAAGGATTACAAATTTCACCTGTTTTACACAGAATGTAAAAAAACAAACAAATAACCAGCTTAAAAAATATAACAAATAAACCCCCATTTTTTTCAAAAAATTTAAAATAAATATAAATAAAAATTTTTACCTATCATAATTTTTTTTAATTTTCACGCATATTAATACATGCGAGGAAATTCGGGAAAACACATAATATGACATGTATATAACGACATTTCCGCCACATTCCAATGTTTAAATTTCAACATTTCAACATACAAATGCGTATGTATAGATATCACCCGTATACATACATGTGTCATAGCCGAAATTGCCCACATATGTTTATATATGTATGAGTCCTGACGGACGACCAAGTATGTATATGTGTCTGCATACATCGATGTTTGCGTTATCGATGAATGACAAAACGACGAAATTTCCCCACCACTTTCAATAACACAATACACGCAATCTAATAAACCCAAATTTTTAAAACATTAATCAGTTTATCTGACGATCGCTAAAGCGTGAAACCCAGGGTCACAAACTCACATCTATCCAATCAAATATATATATATATATATATATATGATATCCAACTCGTGCCTTACGTCCATTACGACATATCTTTTAGAGAATCTCTACAGATGTGCTGAACGAATGTGGCTCTTTAGCCCAGTAAGGGACCTACATACTATGGCACAAACACAGAATTGCAACTGGGTTTCATTATCATGCAATTTAAAATTTCGTTGAAACCTCTTCTATCATATCTTTGATAAATATCACATTTAGTTGCTGGATTTTATCTATCTATCTCCGTCGGTATCTAGTGTCACTTTAGACCAGCCATCGACAAAACAATCTACGACAATTACACGCATCAGATCTGTTTCCGGTGTCTTAGTTCAAAGGGACTTTTACGTACATCTTTTAATCTTATCTTATATATCTCCTCAAAGTATCTATCTATCATTTAATTATTGTGATCTCATTCTGATTTTTGTTACAAGGAATGTTCTAATTATATTTATATATATATATATATATATATATATCTAGAGATATCTATCTCTTAAATGTATCTATTCAAATTTATCAGAAATTAATGGTTTATCTATAAGCCTATTTACTAAGGAATATCTATTAGTTAATTCTGTTGATATTTTTTCTTTAATGAATTTCATAAAATCTATCTATCATATCTATCATATCTAGACATTTTGAAGAAAGCGAAAAACGGATAATCAATAAAAAGCATCAATAAAACTGTTCATTAAGAAAATCAATAAAAAATAACAAATTTCTGATTTTCAGAAAAATATTGGTTCTTTTTAATATCTATCTATATCTATCTATCTATCTATCTATCTATCTATCATTATCTATCTTCTTTCTATCTATCTAATTCTGTTTCTATCTATCTATCTATCTATCTATCTATCTATCTATCTATCTTGGTTATCTATCTCATTCTGTTACTATCTATCTATCTATCTGTTCATTACACTGAGCAAGAAAAAGAAATTAAGTTGTTTATGATTTCATATGATTTAGGACAATATTTTTTATCACTGAATCCGAAAATGACATTCGTTTCTTTCGTTTTTGTGCTCAGCTCAGTTTTGAAAAAAAAACCGATCTCATTAAATCGATTACATTTTTGTGACATTATCGATTGAATTTTGTTTATATTTCTCATACGAAATAAGTTTTTAAGAGAAAAAATGTTTTCTAACACAGTTCATTAATTCAATATTACAAACATCGATTACAATTAATTGAAAAGTATGTATTGATAAATAGAAGTCCATGTAAACTGCATATTGCGTTATCATTTTTCGAAATTGAAATTGCATTTATTCGAACCCTTAGAATGATCATTGTCAGGGGGTGTCTCTTTTCAAGGTCCAGCATTAATCAGCCATCATGGCTACACCCTGATACGTCCCTTCCACCTCTTTCATGTGCTGATGGAATCTCTCCCCCTCTTCGTCTCTCATTGTTGCCAGATTCCCAGGAAACTGATCCATATGTAAGAATAAATAATGCATTTTGATGCTCATGTTGCATCCGGAGTTTCTGAAAGCAGTCAGCATATTGATGACAAGTTCTGCAGAGTTTCTGGCCTTGTTGTTGCCAAGAAAGTTCTTCATGACCAGAACAAAAGCCTTCCATGATTCTAGTTCCACTTCGGACATTGAGTTTTCAAATTCAGGATTACTGATGCACTGATGGATTTAAAGACTTTCAATGATACCAGCTTTCAACTTTTTCGTCGTCAATCCAGGAAAATCCAGTAAGTGAAGCAGCCACCATCCTTGTCCAGAGATTTGGCGAACTGCTTGACCAAACCGAGCTTGATGTGCAGCAGTGGGAAAAGTATCTTGTCTATGTCCACCAGAGGCTTATTAAAGACGTTCGTTGTTCTTCAAGACATCAATTCCTTACAAACAGGCCAGTCCTTTTTCATGTAATGCTGAGCAGTATCCCTAATATCCCACATGCACAAAAAGCATGAATAGTTGGTAAACCCGGGCTGTTGTAAGGACAAAAAGTCCACCATCTTTAGGTCGACGAAAATAAAGCACTCATACTGATCATAATGAAAATATTTCTGATGGGTTAAAATTAATAAGTTTATAATTGACATAATAATTAGTTTTATTGTGTGAAATGTGTTGCATATTTCGATATTTTAATGGACATGGCAATGTGTTGTGGATTCCGGGTTGAAATCCGGTACCAATAAATAACAAACGCCAGGAATGAATATAGGAAAATAATGTATTAACGTAATAATACAAACTGGTAAAGCAGGTTAGTAGTTCCAGGAATACGGGTTAGTAGCAAAATATATATACAGTCTTTGGTATTGAAGTATTGCTGTATGACTTCTTACTGAGTCTACGTGCTCGCTCACTGTGACTCCTACAACGCTGTTACCTCACCCCTCACTCTTCCGGTTACCTACAACCTTTTACTCTGTCACTCTCGACTCGACTCCAGTCTTCGGTCTTGCTTTGGCAGTAGTATAAGGGTACACTGGGTGAGTTCATTTGTATAAAAAAGGGGTGGACCCCTCAACACAATGTAAACAAGGAAGTAAGAAAATGCATGTGACCATAGCTCAAAAATTGGACCTCATCGAGCAAGACCAATGTGATATTTGGGTTCAAAACATCAAAATTGCTTGAAATCAGCTACACAAGACTAGAGAATAAATTTGTTGCTGACCAATGTTATCTATCTACCTATCTCTTCATTCTGTTTATATCTATCTCATTCTATTCTGTTCATATCTATCTATCTATCTATCTATCTATCTATCTATCTATCTCGCAAGTTGCTACAAAACGATAACATTAGCCTAAGAACTCAACTCATATTTTCGAACGGCCTTGTCAGATCGGATTTTCATATGTATGTCATACATGACACTCGACTTTTTCAGATATATTTTAAACTGTACAACCGTTTTCTCGGATCAGTGATTAAAAATGTCTTCGAGTGAATGAACTCTTTCTACAAACTTTGTGGACTGGTGCTACAGGATGAAAAACAAAGAACTGTATGAAATAACAGAAACCACATCACTTGAAGATATTCCACGGCAGCAACGACCAAAATGCAATCTCAAGATGTCGAAGTTCCACACTAATTCAAACGAAGAGTTAGGAATGAAACTCCATCAATAGTAGAAAGAGTGATAACAGTTTGTGGTCTTGAGAAATCTATCTATCTATCTATCTATCTATCTATCTATCTATCTTCGTCCTGAGTATGACAATAAACTACATCCGCGTCCTGGGTATGACGATAAACTACATCCGCGTCCTGGGTATGACGATAAACTACGTCCAGCAGCAAGGTATCTGATCAGGATGTTTTGAGGAGCGTGGAACCACCTCTTAATTGCTGATGTTCCCAGGTCCACCCTGACCTGGGGTGGTAGCACCTGTTACGGCCCTAGCTATTACATAGTTAACTTCTAAACTTGGGTAAAAACACTATGAAAGTGTAAAAATAGGTTTTAATACCAGAAATACTTTGTAAAAAATTATTACCAGCAATAAAGTTTTGAAGAAAAAAAAAACTATTACCAGCAATACATTTTTGAAAAAAATATTACCAACAATGTTTTTAAAAAATGAATATTGCGAGCAATACATTTTTGAAGGAAATATATTACCAGGAATAGATTTTTGACGAAACAAAATATTACGAGCAATAAAAATTTTGTCGGCATTAAATAAATCATTGAGGTTGATATGCCGTAAAACAAAACAAAACAAACCAATCAATCTATCTATCTATCTATCTATCTATCTATCTATCTATCTATCTATCTATCTCAGTCTCTTTTCATCTATCTATCTATCTATCTATCTATCTCAGTCTCTTCACTATCTATCTATCTATCTATCTATCTATCTATCTATCTCAGTCTCTTTATCTATTTATTCATCCATCTATCTATCTATCTATCTATCTATCTATCTCAGTCTCTTCACTATCTATCTAACTATCTATCTATCTATCTATCTCAGTCTCTTCACTATCTATCTATCTATCTATCTATCTATCTATCTATCTATCTATCTCAGTCTCTTCACCATTCATCTATCTATCTATCCATCCTATCTATAAAATCTATCTATCTATCTATCTATCTCAGTCTCTTCACCACTATCTATCTATCTATCAAACATCCATCTATCTATATATCTATCTATCTATCTATCTATCCATATCTATCTATCTATCTATCTCAGACTTTTTTTTTATCTATCTATCTATCTATCTATCTATATTTCATTATCTATCAACCTCTTTTTTTAAATTCTGTTCATATCTATCTATCTATCTATCTATCTATCTATCTATCTATCTATCTATCTATCTCTGTCTGTTCATATCTATCTATCTATCTATCTATCTATCTATCTATCTATCTATATCTATCTATCTATATATCTCTTCATCTTAATTTATCTATCTATCTATCTATCTATCTATCTATCTCAGTCTCTTCACTATCTATCTATCTATCTATCTATCTATCTATCTATCTATCTATCTCAGTCTCTTCATATCTATCTATCTATCTATATCTATCTATCTATCATCTATCTATCATTCATCTATCTTTCTATCTCAGTCTCTTCACTATCTATCTATCTATCTATCTATCTATCTATCTATCTATCTATCTATCTATCTGAGTTGTACGATTATCTCGACACAGCTGGTACATTTTCTTTTGTACATTGTCTGAGTCATCAAATCTTTTCTTTTCTCAATGGATTTTTTTTTCATAATCATCTATCGTCTTTCTTGAATGAAACATTCACTCCTGTCAGAACCAAGTCAAGATGTCAGGCGATCGTGTTTTGAGAGTTAGTCTCGTTTCTTAATGAGATCCTTAGCGAGAAAATACGTGACTACAATGAAGCCAAACTTTATGGAAAATGAAAGACGATGAAATTGGCGAATGAAAAAAACGAAATGGAGAAAACTTAATCAGGTAGAGAAAAATTCAAACTTCATATTTGCTGACAATTTTTAATATAATGTTCACCTTTCCGAAAGGCCCAAGAGCCACTCTAGTTAGAGGGTCACATAATACGAGGTAGGAAGCCCAGTTTATGGGGAGATGTGGGGAAGATAATGTTAGACATTTCCATGACGGTCGTCCTTGAGTATTGAATCTAGAGGTTAGCAGTGAATATTTCGGAGACAGTAGGAAAGCGTACTTTAGATTCGCAGTGGATATCACAGCAGAGTGTAGTTCATCCTTCTCCTGGTCGCCTTTGGTCCTTCCGGTAGACGAAACAAGATGGCCGCCTTTATACACGATTAATACAGTGTTGGGCGGTTTCTGATTGGTCAACCTTCCTCTGGTCGACTATAAAGGGGAATAAGTCATTCTGACTCGATCACTAGTTATAAGTGTTATATACCCAAAAAACCGTAACAGATAACTCTAGACTTGAACAGGTTACGACTTTAGCGATTGAGGTATATTGACTTGGTAGTCGGTTCCCCAAAGTAGCGCAATGTAGTTGGTCTGAACCCTTTCCATTGAAAAAGCGATGAAGTACCAAAAACACATTTCAGAAGGGCCGAAACGTTGTAATAAATATGGCAACAAAGATGAGGATAATTCATGTCCCTTGTAACTTCTAGTAGGCTTGCCCTCTTATTACCGCTAATTCTGGTTCGTGTGTGTGCGAAAATGATTACGGAGTGATTATGAATATTTCAATCGATGTTCGATCTTTTCATTCAACATTCCTTCTTGGCTTGAAAGAATTATTTTAATAGGGGGAAAAAAATCAATGACCCCAAAAATTGTAAAAGGTTCTTAATTTTCTTTGTCGAAAAAGATTAACGATTCTGTGCAGACGGCAATATAAAGTTGTTTGAAATACGTCAGAAAAAATGGTAACGGAAGAAGAAATAGTTTCTTTAAGAAAGTGAATACAGGTTGCCAAAGAAATATCTGTCAAATAATTCCAATAGTGTGTCTTCATTTCTTCGGAACTCTGTACATAGAGAAGTAATTTATTTTAAATGAAGAAACGACAGTTTCAGCCCCACCCCGGCTCCAAAATAGTTGCCGGTCTATCACCTTCTCTTCATCTCTCTCTCTCTCTCTCTCTCTCTCTCTCTCTATATATATATATATATATATATATATATATATATATATATAACCACATTTCAGGGGACAAGGTAATCCGTAATAAACTAAGAACAAAAACAACAGGATTTTCCCAACCATGTAACAACAAAAGAAGTTTATGTTGCAACCATATTAAACACGAATTTATTCACTAGCTCAATCACTAAATCTACTTTCATAATCTACCACGACTCTAACAGTAGAAGTCATAACATAATTTACCTCCTAGAATGCACACTATGCCAGAAACAATATGTAGGAAAATCTGAATGGCCCTTTAACTACAGAATTAATAATTATCGTAAGCGAATTAAGTCGACTCCCTAGGAAAAATTATTACCTGTAGAACAACATTTCCCCCTGGAAAAACACGATTTCAAAACCCATGCCAAATTCACTATAATTGAGAGAATAGAAAAGTTCAGAGCAGATAACATTAGAAAGATTTTAGAGTCCCATGAAAATAAATGAATACAACGTCTAAAAACACAAAATCCAGCCGGGCTAAACCATAAATTTAACAATATAGATAGTACTAATATATAACTCAACAAATCAAAACCTACCCGCATTTCTCACCCACACAAGACAGACATGCTTACGGAGGTGTGGAGGCCTCACACTTATACACACACCCACACGAATATATACACACTTACACACATCATACTCACTCACTCCCTAATGAGCCAAATGATAACACACACTTACAGCAATACACACGCTTACACATATCATACTCCCTCCCTCCCTAAGAACCAAATAACACACACACACACACACACACACACACTAAACAGAGACACATCCCCTCTCCAGGACCAATAAAACTGTCAAACTGACTGGGGGAATTCAGGGAAGTATAGATCCATCCAGCTCTTATCTCAAATAACAACTTAAAAGAGACTGTTTGACCAACACAAGGAATGTTAAAAGATAAAAAAATAAAAAAAAACAAATGAAAACTACAGACAAAAGTTCATTTTCTCCATCAAGACATTCATTTCTGTAGTTTGCTGCTACCAGAAATATCTCTCCTCCCGATGATGGCCATTTTGGTCGAAAGTAGTCGAGGAATCTAAATGAAATAATAATAAAAAAAAAACGAAAGAATATTAATCTACAACCCATTGTGTTTGAAGATTTTAATTTTTTAATATTTTTTTTTTTTTATATATATATATATATATATATATATATATATATATATATATATAGCTTTGCATAGATGTTTTCCTCTAGGTAAGCTAATGTTAGGGTGGCATATGTTGGTGCCATTTTCGGTCCCATTGTGGTACCTAGGGTTTGGATATAATTTTTGTTGTCAAATTCAATGTTGTTTAGAATTAGTTCTATACTATCGATAATAAATTCCTTAATGAATCTGGGATGTAGTGTTTCTGGATGTTTTGTCAATCCAGAATGAGATTGCCTCCTTACCTAATTCATGAGGTATGTTGCTATATAGGCTACTAATCTCAAAAGTTCCCATAAGTGTTCCCAGATCAACTTTTTGTGGTATGGAGCTAAAGAAGTGAATGTCATCTCTGATGAAATTTTTAATCTGTTTAGTAAATGGTTGTAGTATTGTGTCTATTAGGTTACTAAGTTTGCTAGTTGGACAGGTGGGTCCTGTTACTGTGGGTCTGAATGTAAGGTCACTGGGGTTTGGGATGTTAATGTATTCAGATTTTTCTGTCTGGAAAGCTGCTTTTATTTCATTTGATTTGTGAATTTTTGGTAGTCCAAAGAAATTGCTTGTTTTAGGTACAAAGTTTATTAGGAAATCCTTTTCTTCTTTTATTAATATTTTATTATGTGTTGTGCAGAATTTTGTAACTTTTGATATAATGTTTTTGTCTATGTTAGTGTGAATTAGTTTGCTCTTATGCCCTAGTGTCTCTAGAATTTTTGCTTTAGAGTATGTTTTGTCCATGATCAATATAGCGCTGCCTTTATCTGCTTCTTTTATAATTATGTTATTATTTTTTCGGATGCACTGTAACGCTAGTCTTTGTCTGTAGGTAAGGTTGTCGAATGGTTGGGATTTTTCTTGTACGTTGAGGTTCTAGAGTCTTTCAAAAAATATATTTAGCTCATTGGTATTATTTTTGCTTGGGAATAAATTAGATTTGTTTTTTACTAGTGACTCATGTGCAATATTTTCGTTATAAAATTTTTCTTTTAGTCTGAATTTGCGTTCAAATTTTCTAAGTTCTTTTTTTAGGTCTGTTATATTGCTTTTCGGCGCAGAGCAGGATTTTAGGCCTAATTTCAATCGGTTGATTTCGTCCTTTGTAAATGTATATGTAGACAGGTATATTATTTTGAGTTTTGCGTCACTTAAACTGATGTTCTCATTCGGACTGGGGTTTCTAAAAAATAATGATTGTTTCTTTCCACATAATTCAAGATTTCTAAGAGATAACCTCTCTATGCAAATTTCGGGTTTTTCTAGTCAGTGAGAATTTCTCTTCGTAAAATTGGGGGTATTGTTTCTCGATAGCAGTGTGTTTGTTTTTGTAATAAGGAGAGTTCCAGATGTTTCTAGAATTGCTCTTCCTGTATGGATTGTATTTGGATTGTGTGTAGAAATTTTCGGGGAATTTTGATTGTATACCTTGATATGGGTAATGGTTGTTAGGTTTAGTTTGTTGTGCTGGGTGGTATCTGTAAGTGTTGGTTTTGAGAATATGCGAGAACTCTGACCTTTGTCTGGTTGTGTTATGGTCTGATGGTCTGCTGTGAAGGTTTGTGCGCTGTTAAGTATATTTTCGTAAATGTATTTGTTGTGGGGGTGTGTTTGTGTGTGGCAGTATGCATTAGGGTGCTTACCTTGTGGATGTGTTTGGGTAAGGTAGAATGCATTAGGATGCTTACCTTGTGGATTTGTTTGCGTATGGTAGAATGTATTAGGGTGCTTACCTTGTGAATGTGTTTGCGTATGTTAGAATGTATTAAGTTGCTTACCTTGTGGTTGTGTTTGTGTGTGGTAATATGCATTAGGGTGCTTACCTTGTGGATGTATTTGCGTGTGGTAGAATGTATTAGGTTGATTACCTTGTGGATGTGCTTGGGTATGTTAAAATGTATTACGGCGCTTACCTTGTGGATGTGTTTGCGTAAGGTAGAATGTATTAAATTGCTTACCTTGTGGATGTGTTTGCGTATGGTATTATGTATTACAGTGCTTACCTTGTGGATATGTTTGTGTGTTAATATGCATTATGGTGCTTACCTTGTGGATGTGTTTGTGTGTGGTAATATGTATTAAGGTGCTTACCTTGTGGATGTGTTTGCGTATGGTAGTATGTATTACGTTGCTTATCTTGTGGATGTGTTTGTGTGTGGTAATACGCATTAGGGTGTTTACAACTGAATTTGTTTGCGTATGGTAGAATGTATTAAGGTGCTTACCTTGTGGGTGTGTTTGCGTATGGTAGTATGCATTAGGTTGCTTACATTGTGGATGTGTTTGTGTGTGGAAATATGTATTAGGGTGCTTACCTTGTGGATGTATTTGCGTATGGTAGTATG